GAGGACGACGACGGGGCTGCTGCACACTTGACGAAACGCGGGCGGCGAACGCGATCGGCTTGACGGAGGGACGAACGCCACAACGAGGAGGAAGGAGGAAGACGACGACCGACAGGGAGGCGATGAGGGCAGCCGGCAGCAGCTGCACGGAGGTGAGGACGGCGTGGGACACGCCGCAGCGATGCCCACGACGGTGGCAGCGCAGCCAGACGACGAGCCGGGCGATCAACGGGACGTCGACGACGAGAACGAACGGAGACGACGACGATGGATCGCGGAGGGGTTTGGACAAAGGGGAGGCGAGGCCGAGGGCGACCTTGCCGCTGCAATGCCGGGGGTGGAGATGGCGACGTCGGCCGGCACACTGGCACGGCGGAAGGGGCTGCCGGAGAGGGTGCCGGCGGGACCGAGGGAGAGGTGGCGCGGGCGACGGCGTTCCGGCGAAACCGAGGAGCAGCCGGAGGAGAGGACGACGCCGCGACGTCGACGGAGGAGACGGCGACGTCGGTCGGCGTACCGGCGACGAACAGCAGCCGGCCGGAGACGGTGTAGTGGTGGCGACGCCACTGGACGCCGGCGGGGCACGTCTCCGGCGATTTCCCCACGAATCGGAGGCAGCGCCGGCGAAGAGGAGGCGGCTGCGACGCCGGGGAAGGCGACGGCACGGCCGGGCGGCGCTCGGGCGAGGAGGGAGAGGCGGCTGGAGGCGGCCGGCGCGGGGGAAAGAGAAGGGCAACGGCGGGAACGCGCCTCCGGCGGTCACCGCGCAAAACGGAGGGCAGGCCGTGGGAGAGGAGGCGGCTGCGGGGCCGAGAGAGGTGGTGGCGCGACCAGCCGACGCACAGGCAAGGAGACAGAGGCGGCTGGAGGCGGCCGGCGGCACGGGAGAGAGAGGAGGACGGCGGGGAGAGGTGGTGAGGTCACGGGAGAGCGCGAGAGGGGGCTAAAACGATAGAACGAAGGATGGGGATTCCATTTTATAGGCGTGGGGAGGGAGCCGGCCACGGGAGGAGCGGGGAACGGCGGCGGAAAAGCCGGCCGGCGGCCATGGAAGGTGGCCGGAGTTGGCGCGTCCGTTCCCGGTGTTTGGGGGCGCCATTCAAGGGGGAATTTAGGGGGAAAGAGAGAGGAGGGAAAGGGGATTAATTCCCCCTAATCAATTTTGGAATTCGCTGTTTGAATCGCGTGGATTTTGGGGAGGTTTGGCGCTAGGTTTCCGGGGAGAGAGGGAGCAGGCCGTGCGGGAGGAGGAAGACGACCGCACGTGCTGCGCGCGTGCGGGGAGCGGCTCGGCGTGGGCCAGGTGGCTGGGTGGCGCGGCTTGGGCCGGGCGGGAAGGAGGGAGGGGAGGGGCGGCCCAGAAGGAGGAGGAGAGGAGGGAGTGGGCCGGGAGGGGAAGAGGAGGCCCAAGAGAAGGAGAGGGAGAGAAAGAGAGGGAGGAGAGAGGGACTTCGGCCACGGGCCGAGAGGGAGAGGGGAGAAACCTTGGGCCAGACTTGGCCCAAAGGGAAGGAGAGGGTTAATTTTAGGTTTTTCTTTTTAATAAACTCTGATAATTGTTTTTGTTGCTTAATAATTATTTCCGGTGCTCTGAAAATTCGAGTAAAATTTGAGGGCTCCTTTTAGAACAAGGAGAATTTAGCAAAAATTCTCCGGGCCACATTTGAATTTTTCTTGTACGCATTTTAGTGTTTGCCAATTTCTTTTCGAATTTTAATTAATTCTATTATTCCTTTTAGAAAATGATTTTTATTTCGGGATGAATTTATCAGGACGTGACAGAGACGGCGACCGACGGCAACGACCGAAGCGACGGCGGTGCCCGACTGGACACCCGCCGGCGGCAGCGACGCAAAGAACCACGCGGAGGCGGTGCTAGAGAAGGTGACAGGCTAGGGCGAAGGTGGCGGCGAGAAGAGGAGGTCCCGGGGGTCCTTTTATAGGGGTCTAGGGGCGTCGATGGAGGCCCATGGCCAGCGGCAAGAAGATGGAAGGTCTAGGGTTAGAGGAGAGAGATTGATCCGAATCGAACTCAAATCCGTCGATTTCCAAACAAAATTAGCCGGAGTTTCCAATAGAGAAAAGGAAGAGGAGATCCCGAGGATCATTTCCCCTCTATCAATTTGATCGGAGAAGGAAAGGGGCGGCCGGATTTTGGAAGGAGGAGGCGGCTTGCGGCGCGGCTAGGCGCGGCCAGAGGTTGAAGACGACTGACAGGTGGGTCCACGTGTCAACGGCACAGAGAGAGAGAGGAGGGAGGGGCGGCGGACTGGGCCAGATGGGCCGAGCACGCGCAGGCCGGGGAGAGAGAGAGAGACTTGGGCTGACTTTCGGCCTAAAGCCAAAAGAAGGATTAAAAACATTTTTCTTTTTAAATTATTCATGAAATGATATTCCGTTTATTAAAAATATTTCCTTTGCTCAATAAATCCCAGAAAAATCTAGGAACTATAAAAACAAGAGAAGTATTTAATAAAATTTTATCTAGCCCACTTTTATATTGATATTTAGAGAATTAAAATTAGATCTTCTCTTTTAGGCTTTTAAGATCATTTATAATAATTCCTTTTAAACAACAATTTATAATTTAAGGATTTTGAAACAAGCAAAAAATTTAACATAATTATAATTAGATCATTAATTGATTAATTTATTGATTAACTAATTGCTGAAATATTCTTTGTAGTATTAACATTAGGAATTGAGCTCTGAAAAATCTGAGAAAATTTAAGAGAGCATAATTAATCATGGAGAATTTAATAAAAATTAAATCCAGCCATGCGTTATATTTAGGAAATTTTATTTCCCATATTTATCTTCACTTGTAAATTAATGAACATTTAATATAATTTCTATTATTAATTTATTAAATAATTTATAAATCTTGAAACGAAAATTCAGGCTGTGACAGGTGCCCTCTGAATTGCTCCAAATTTTTGACAATCCTGACACCCCTTGCTCATCTCCCATCGGCTGCTCGGCCAGCTGTATGCACCATATTGATAGGAAAATGATTGCCATCAACTTTCATCGGCCTCTTAGAATCATCAAACTTGATTTTTCCTCCCTCAATAGCCGCTTGGATCTGCTGCCTGAAGACCTTGCAATCATTGGTAGTATGAGACCCGGAATTATGCCACTTGCAATACTTTTTCTTGCCCAATTCTTCAGCCGATGGAATTGTATGACCAGTAGAAGGTTGAATCTGCTTCTCTCGGAGTAGCAAGTCAAAAATCTTGTCGGCCTTGGTAATATCAAAGTCATACCTCTCCTCTTTTCCAGAATTCTTTACCCATTGGCATGGTATAACCATTTTGCTTCTCACCCATTCAGCTGCTGCTATTTCAGAATCATCATCATCATCATTATCCGATCCATATATGTAAGGACAGATATGGTTAACCTTTCTAGAGTTCTTCCTGGCCTCTGTAAACCTCTGTTCATGCAAGGTTACCTTCTGTGTAAGATGCGACAAGCTATCAAAGTCTTCAGACGAGAATTTCTCCCTGATTGGAGTAATCATACCTTGAAAAGCCAAATCGGCTAACTGGGCATCAGTCAAACTCAAGCTGTAGCACTTATTCCTCATCTCTCAATCTCTGAATATACTCATGCACAGGCTCATCATGTCTTTGCTTGATTGCTGTTAAATCAGACAATTTCATCTCATGTACCCCACTGTAGAAATAGCTGTGAAAATGCTTCTCCTAATCAGCCCAACTGTTAATCGATCCATATGGCAAAGAAAAAAAACCAAGTGAAAGCCGATCCAGACAAAGACAACCGGAACAACCGAACCCTCAAGGCATCCACAGCCGATGCTTCACCACACTGAGCTAAAAATCGGCTAACATGTTCATAAGTTGACGTACTATCCTGCCCTGAGAATTTTGAAAAATCTGGAACTTTGAACTGATTAGGTAGAGGGACTCTCTCAAACCATTCAGGGTAAGGCTACCGGTACAAATTTCCAGCGTCTTTCGGCCTAAGCCCAAACTTCTCCTTCATCACATCCGCAATCATATCGGCCCATGGTTGTTGTTGAGGTGCTCCTTGAGGTTGTTGTGACATGGGCTCGAATTGATTGTATTGAGGAACAAACTGGGGTTGAGACGATGCTTCCTGCTGATATTGAACTTGCGGTGATGGAGGCTGATACTGATAATTCAAATTGCCCCCCTGGTAATTTTGAAAATCTGGCTGAATATTGCGCACCAAATGCTCGGGAACAACTTGAGGTATCACCGTTTGATCTGGTTGTACCTGATGAACCAAGTGCTCTGGGACAACTTGATTTGCAGCATGCTGCCCAAGCTGACTACCAGGTGTTGTAAACCCAGCCGATGCATTCATCAAGCCTTGATGTTGAATCTGCTGAATGACCTGTTGCCTTAATGGCGTCTGCTGAATTGGTTGCAAAACCTGCCGTCTTGGTGGCGTCTGCTGAACTGGCTGTACAACCTGTTGTATTGGGGGTGTTTGTTGAATCGGTTGCACAATCTGCTGCCTTGGTGGTGTTTGCTGAATCGGCTGCTGCTGGGTCGGATCAACAGTAGGTTGAGGAGGTAAGAACATAGCCGCAACCTGATCTTGTGTTAGCCGATTCACATTCTATCCACTATGCTGTGGTTGTTCTCTCACCAACAACCGGGGATTAACTAACTGGCCCGGTGCCGATGGTGGTGCAGCAGGTGCAGGAGCCGATACTGGCGCCGTCGGCTGAGCCGATGGTGCATTAAGAGGAATTGAATGGACAGCTGGCTGATTATCAGTGATTAATGGCCGATAATTTGGGAACACCTCTCCTGGTAGATAAACCGGTCCTTTAGCCTGATACTCAGCCATTGAACCATCAACCATTGTTTTCACTATGTTTGACAAAGTGTTGACTAATATTCCAGACTGATTGATCAAAGCATGGTGCACAGCATAATCAACATGATCTTGGAAGTTGTTAAACTGTAACTGTGCCGCATTGTCATCTTGATTAGGGCCTCCACCTTGAACTCCCTGAACACCATCACCTTGAATTCCTTGAGAGTCGACACCCTACACTCCTTGAGAGCCATCACCTTGATTTCCTTGAAAGCCATCTGCAGCACCTTTATCACTCGGTTGAGCCGCACTGTCGCGACCGAGAAAAATACATTTTCCCGAACGCTAGTGTATTAATCCCCGTCCCAGGAAAAGCCAGGGTACACCACACAAACATGATATAAAAGACACATCTTTATTATATCGATAATATTTACATTATTACAAAGGCACTTAAGGCCTGACAATCAAAAATAAACAGCAGCGGACTAGCGGGCCTACGGCTCCATCTTCACAGGCGCTCAACTGGGGTATAAGCCAGGACTCCACCTAAGACTTCTTCTCCAAAGCTTCTCTTAGTGAAGGGGGGGGAAAGATTGAGCAAGAATGAGTACAACCACAGTACTCAGCAAGCCACACCGGCAGATGCATGATTAATGCAAGGGGGTACAAGGGGTAATAATATAGGGGTTAAGTTTTGCAGAAAACAACATTTAAAAGTCACTTAGTTGCCCAAAGCCATTTTATAAAGACGATCCTAGAGTTACACAGTGTTATTAATCAAGGCCGTGAACCCTCACGAACCTGCCTTAACCCAAGGCCTACGATGATTCAGACCGAACTGGCCACCCGACCCTGGGTCCCAGCTCGTCCCAAGCCAACCCAGGCCAACCATTCCACATTTTAGTTGTTAAGCAAATTTTAAGAATTAAAACACTAACTTGGGTACATTGCTAGGCTTGCTCATAACCGAGGGCGCGGCTATTCGAATAGGTTATACTCTGATCAGAGGTGTACATCTTTACCCACAAGACACATCTTCCTCACGCGTAACCACGTGCCACATACCACCACGGTATACGGACGGAAGACGTGACATAGTTCCCAACCCATCCTAGCCATAAACAAGAGTACCGACCCAACCCCACCTACGGCCGGAACCTCCGGGACAGGCAGGCAGGATTGAGCCCCTAGCAGCAGGACACCAGCCCTATGCTATGACATCTCGACTACCGGGCCGCAGCTCGTGTAGCCTTCATTTGTCCTAGAGATGTCCATCGACCCCCGACTTTGTCCATCTCCATCCGTGTACTTTTGTTTATAACCAGACTGAGCCACAAACTAAGCCTTACCCACTAGACATGTGGAAGTACGGTAGTGCTTTGCAACAGAGGCCCGAGCTTAATCCTTATAGTACCCGAGGTACGACTAACAAAACCCAACCACGCACCTCGAGCCCAGCCTAAAACCATTTTGGGGGTTTTGAATAGAGGGGGAGGTGTGTGTCCAATTCCAACATAAGCCAACCATTCCATAGTGTCCAAATGATATGAGAATTCCCAAAGTCTAAAGTTATAAAACCACCTAATATTGCCTAATTAATTAGCGAAGCATCTACCTAAATTCATACTAGTGGAACCATGAATAGAGTACCCACTAGTTGGGGTTTTGTTTATCCTAGGGTGAACAAGGTAATAATAACAATAGCAATAATAATAAGGTCATAACAAAGGTAAATAGGCATGGCTAAATAAAACAGTGATAACGCAGGAATTTAAATAAAGCGATAATGCATTAATTTAAATCAAAATAATTTTATAAACTGGGATTCAATATGCTCAAGGATGATGTGACTTGCCTTGCTCAGAGATAACGGCCTTCCGAACCTTCGGCGACGACCGCAAACCACGCTTCAGGAACCTCCGGAACGACGAAGACTACGCGAAGCACACAAGTAAAGCTACAAGCCTATAAAGAAGCAATAACAATACATAAAAAGAAAGCACAGGGTTCTTTAGGTTATAACAAACATTAGGAGACTTGAACGGATCGATTCGGAGCTCATATGACCAAGATATGATCATCCGAAGTTTAATGCTGTTACATGGAGATTTGCGGATTATTATAATTAGGTTTTGCAACTATAAAACATGTGTAAGCGCTAGCCTGGAAAAGACAGGAAGGCTGCGCCGTTGACATGCGGACCCCACATGTCAACCTAAAGGACCGCGGTAGACCGAGTACACAGATACGGTCCACGGGTCGACGGAAGCAGATCCCGTGTGTCAACCGAGGCGAGTGGTCGACAAACGGACTCCACTAGACACCACACGGGCTGCACACGTGGAAACCACGCGGCTACCGAGCGGGCACACTAACACGGTCACCACACGCACAAGCGAACGACTACCGACACCGGTACACGGGTACCGGGGTCGACAACCGCACAACGGGCACGGGCGACACCGAAATGACGAGGACGGGGCAGCGAAGGAGAGATCCTTACCACCACGCGACGAGGCGAGGGAACGACAACGACGAACGGGCGCGGCAGAGACGGCCGGGAATGACGGAGACGAAAGGCGAGGGGACGACTTCGGCGGCGATCCTTGGACGAAGGCGAGACGCGGCTGGCGCAACGCTTGGCGACGCGGAGGCGAGGACGAAGACGACGACGGGGCTGCAGCGGCACACTTGACGGACGCGGACGACGGACGAGAACGGCTTGACGGAGGGACGAACGGCACGACGACCGGGAACGACGAGAGGATGACGACAGGAACCGGCGAGGAGGCGATGAGGGCAGCCGGCAGCAGCTGCACAGAGACGAGGACGGCGCGGAACACGCCGCTACGATGACGACGAGGGTGGCGGCGCAGCGAGACGACGAGCCGGCAAGGACGAACGACCGACCGGAGGAGTCGTCAACGACGACGAGCGGAGACGACGATAACGAACACAGGCGGGGTTCGGATGGAGGGGAGGCGTGGCCGAGGGCAACCTTGACGCTGCGATGCCGGAGGAGGAGATGGCGACGTCGGCTGGCGCACGGGCACGGCGGAAGGGGTTGCCGAAGGAACTCCGGTGAGGCGGAGGGCGAGACCGACGCAGGCGACGGCGTTCCGGCGAAACCGAGGGAAAGCCGGGGTGGAGGGCGACGCGGCGACGTCGAGGGAGGATGGCGATGACAACAGCCGCTGCACCGGCAAGGCGGCACAGGCGGCTGGAGGCGGTACAGTGGCGGCAACGCCACTGTTTTGCCGGCGAGGACGCGTCTCCGGTGGTTTCCCCACGAAACGGAGGGCTGACCGGGGGAGAGGAGGCGGCTGCGACGTCAACGGAGGAGATGGCGACGTCGGTCGGCGTACCGGCGATGAACAGCAGCCGGCCGAAGACGGAACAGTGGCGGTAACGCCACTGTTGCCGGCGGGGATGCACTTCCAGAGGTCTCCACGGGCAACAGAGGGCAGGCCGGCGCAGAGGAGGCGGCTGCGACGCTGGAGGAGGTGCCGGCACGGCCGACCGGCGCTCGGGCAAGGCGGTAGGGGCGGCTGGAGGGTGGCCGGCATGGAGGAAAGAGAAGGAGGAGGCAGGGAGAGGTGGTGCAGCCACGGGGAGGACACGGGAGGGGGCTAAAACGAGAGAACGGAGCGAGGGGGTTCCGTTTTATAGCGGAGGGAAGCGAGCCGAGCACGGGAGGAGCAGGGAACGGCGGCGGAAAAGGCGCCCGGCGGCCATGGAAGGCGGCCATGAATGGCGCAGCCGTTCCGGTCAAAATAGTGGACGATTAAAGGGGAGATTAGGGGGAAAAGGGAGAGGAAGGAAAGGGGATTAATTCCCCCCAATTAATTTTGGAATCCAACGCTTAAATCGCGCGGATTCGAGGGAGGAACGAACTAGGGTTTTCACGGGAGAGAGAGGAGGCCGTGCGGGAGGAGGAAAACGACCGGCGCGTGGGCCCCACGCGGTCAGCGCGCGCAGTCAGCGCACGCGCGGCGCGCGTGCACGCGGCTGGCTCGGCTCGGCCTGGCTTGGGCCGGGCTGCTGGGCCTAGGCAGGCCGGGAGGAAGGAGGAGGGAGTGGGCTGCCCGGGAGGAAAGAGAGAAAAACAAAGGGAGGGGAGAGGGACTTGGACTGCGGGCCGAGGGGGAGAGAGGGAGACTTTGGTCCAGACTTGGCCCAAAGGGAGGAGGGGGATTATTTTTAGCTTTTTCTTTTTAATAAACTTTGTTAATTGTTGTTGTTGTTTAATAAATATTTTCGGTGCTCTGAAAATTCAAGTAAAATTTGAGGGCTCCTTTTAGACCAAGGAGAATTTAACAAAAATTCTCCGGACCACATTCGAATTTTTCTGGCACGTATTTTAGTGTTTGTCAATTTCTTTTCGAATTTTAATTAATTCTATTATTCCTTTTAGGGAATGATTTTTATTTCGGAATGAATTTATCAGGACGTGACACGCACCATCTAGAGCTTGTTTCACTTCTCCATCCTTAGAAGAACCGGTCCCAGGAACATCAGCAACTACCTTCACTTTGTATTTCTGAACCAATGTCCCCTTGCAGGTCTCCGTGAATGAGCTCAAGAACTTATTCCATGCTTGCTGCATCATTGTATCAAGGTCTTTTTGCTGCTCAGGTGTCAATTTATCCAGAGTGATGGGCACAATGTTGGCTTCATCAATCTCAGATAAACCTAGCTCCGGGATCTTTTCTTTAACAGAGCCAGGACCAGCCGAGGACGGCGATGCTGGCAGTTTCTCGGCCATGGGGAACTGCTGTTGTGATTCTGACTTCTAATGGGTCCCACCAGGCATGCCAAAAGCGTGTTGATGAAAAACATGATGCCTAGGAGATCTGCTTAACTGTAGTGCAGGTCCAAAACTCGCCTTCGGGTATGTTAGTGTGCCAGTTGATTTGATCCTGCAATCAACAAGAAATAAAGACAAAGAAACCATGGTTAAATCCATAAACGATAGCCGATCGGCTAGGTGCCGATGACATATCATTTATCTTTGCGCCGATGTCATATATGTATCGATCGACAGTTATAAATAAAAAAGAAGGAACTAAATCTACTCGATCGGCTATAGATATTAACAATATATACTCCTTATATCGATATATACTTAAATCAAGTGATTGGGATAGATCGGTCGCCATGCCGAGACAGTATAAATCACTTAGATCGAAATATATATTAATAATGAGACTATATATGTTCATAGCATAGCCGATCAGATAGATCTAGCATGTATCGGCTAATACTCCGATACCACTCTATATTAAGATATTAAAGCAAGTAGAATATATCAAACAAAAGTCTAATATACTTAAATGCGATTTAACATGTCAATAAAGCATATAAAACAAATGTAGTTAAATCAGGTAAGATCGGCTGAAACCACGATTCTACCCTAATCGGCGACCAAGAATCAGGCTAGAGATTGAGATTCTAATCACGACTCATAAGATCAAACTCAACTGATGCAACTATAAGTATGAAAAGAAGGACAATATCTAGACAATCAAGCCGTTGGAAGTTTCATAGAGTGGTGGATACCTTATATAATCTAAGTCAACGTCGATATCTAATCTAATCGCTGCCCTCTACCGACAGATGTTAGCCGATTGTAGATTAGATAGCGATATTGCCAGAGATTATGTAAGATATATGATAACTCAACGAATTACATAAACAAGATTAGAGTATCATAAAAATGGAAGCACTAATCCCAAGAACGCAAGCCGTCATAACAAGTTTTACCTCTTGTTGAAGATCGAAACCGATGCAGCTCAACCCGAAAGCAAGAACTAGTCGAAATAAAACTAAAGCAAAAAGGGTGGCGATGCGCCGAGATTGTATTGAACGTGTGTTAAATTGATTACATGGGGCTTGAGGTCTATTTATACCCGAGAATTACACAACATGTCCATAACGGACACGACTCTTATCTCTAACAAACTCTAAGATACCATAAGTCTTTGCGGCAGACTTTTGCCTAAACATATCTCTAAGGAAATTACGTAAAATATCCTAACTAATAGATACAATTGCCTTCTCAGGACTCTATCCATGCGTGGCAATCATCTTGAAGCATATCAACTCGACCTGATGTCGTACACCAAGTCATACTGTCGGAATCGGTCGTATCACCTGACCCAGTCTGACTCAGACTTAGCCGATCTCAATCGTAGCCAATCCGAACTCCAGTTGATTCTTACTCTGTTTCTGCAATGATCCTCATCTTTGATTCTGCTTCGATCCAACCTTCCTCTCCGATACTGATATTACCAAATTTAGTCGTTAACACAGTGGCCCACCTTGCTTCCGCAGCATATAACTCCAAATAATGATATCCAGTAATCTAAACATCACGCTTAATTTACCAAATACTACTTTAATATCATCGTCATGACTTAGAGTCATCATAAATACGATCATTATACCCACACCATTGCATCTCCCAGATAAGCTAGCATTATAATAAATGTAACTTGGATATATAATAAATTTGGTATTCATATACTCGGAAAGTAATACAATACCAAAGTACTATAAAGAAGAATATTCTAATAAAAGTACAAGTCTTACAAAAGAAGGAAAAACTACTAGAGCCATACCCGAATTCTTCCGAAGACTCCGAGGACTGAAGATTCTATTCTATTTCTATTCCACTATGCTATAGAGACTATACTAAACTTGAGAGATGTATGAAGCTTCTTACTTGAGGTGTCTTGAAATGGAGAGAGTGAGGGGTTTATATAGGCTGGTAATGATGGTTATGATGGTTGGAAAGGTCGATAATACCCACCAACCATCATTGGGAATCAATCCCAGCTGTCTAGCCAAACCCTGCATCCATCGGTGTTGCGGCTGGTTCGGCCGAACCCCTGGGCTGGCCCAACCGGCTCAGTTCCTGGAAGGCGGCCTCCTCTCTTGTTGCTCACTTCAGACTTGTGAATTTTGGCCCAATTGATCGTGTCATTTCTGAGTTCTTGGCCTATCCTTCCACAAGTCTGATTCTCGACATCGTCCGATTGATTGATCGTCTATTTTGATGCCGATTTTCCTTCATTTTATGTTTATTCTCTGTAAGAGGTTAGTAATTCTAGTGCTAGTGGAATATTTATTATTTGAACACAAATATGCATTGCAAGCATAACTAGTTCTCCTTTATTTTGGTAGTATTGACGGGCGAAATTGATCGCTAACGACCGTAAACAGATATGCATGTATGGAGAATATGGATCTCTAGTTGTCCAATGTGTTCCATGTACAACGATATCTTTTCATGGGGATTTATGGCTGTTGGATCAAAAAAAAAGTGCAGACGCATTTGTTATCGTTGAAGTTAGGGGTGCAAGTGCTTTCCCATGAACCCGCTTATAGGCAAAACTAGTGCGTAACCCGTGGGTTTGAATCGCGGGTTACCTATTAATGGGTTTATGGATCGACCCACTTGCATACCTAGATGCGGCAAGTAGGGGCACGATGCGAAAAGCCATGAATTATCATTTATTTGACCTATAAATGAACTCGTGGGTCGACCCGCTTGCATCCCTAGTTGAAGTAATAGAAAACCACCCACATCCACCCCTCATTTAATGATAGACACCAAGTATAATTTGTGGAAGAAGAGAGTATAAGGACATGCAAGTTAATTAATATTATACATTCATGTTAATTTTCAAATTGGCTACATATCATTTCACTAAATAGAAAAACCATCATTCTCAGGTCCGTCTTTTGCTTAGGTGAAATAGGATTTTCCCATCACTATCATCTTCTTTAACCGATGGTGATGGAGTAGAACTACTTGTTCACCACGGTTTCATGTGCAAACCCTCATGAACTGGCAGTGATACTCGTTTTTTCATACCATGAGCCGAGAAGTGAGGTAACATATGTTCTTATGGAGGAATCACTTTTACCACAACAAGAAGGCCTTCGACGGAAGAGAAGGGTTTTTGTTACAAAACCAACCCCAAAATTAACATCGAAAACCAAACATGGAAGAAAACACTATAGAAAGATTCAAACACAATGACGATACTTAGGCACGATGTTTGTTAATGTGATTTAGCCGAAGCCTATACCGCCAAGACATCGACTACGGATGCTCATCACCGATCCAACATATTACAGTGTATCTGAGTTACAACAACCTCGGCCGGACACTGCTGGCAGCCGCTCCCTCTCACTATACTAAGTCGTCGTACGGTTATAATAGGTCTACCCCTCTACTTAAGAGTGAGCATAGGATAGAGTCCGACTTTTACTATATTCCTAACACTTGTACAACTCCAAGTCACAAACTGTAACCTACTACCTACGCATATTCAATACAAACTCCACCTTGAAAAATACGCCACACCAATATGAATTTGTCCCATGCATGAACTCTGTGAACCCAGACTTGTGTTGATCCTTTCGTTGCTCACATCGCCCCGACAAGCCTCCACTAGGCTCACCATAAACAAGAGACTCCACTATCCATGTAATTTCTTCCTCTTAACTCCATATACAACAGTGATCCACCTTCTTTCCTATCATCACATATGTCTTGCCAAGCGAAATTGAATTCCTCCTTAACCGGTACATACCTGACTTCTAGACATGAAGAGAACCATTTCTTTCTTCCGTCTTATGAACCGAGTTAACAAATCCAATATCCACACTTCTCGCATCCATAGATTGAATCTATGATAATTTGATAAAATTCACCATTGCTTTGAATTACCCGAAGAAATTACCACTATAATGTTTGCTCTTCCTCTTTAGTGATGCAGGTTCCATATATCCCTATTATGCAAACCTGTAGATCCTGAATATGAATATATCATGTACTACCGAACAGACCCATTGAAGCAATCAACGATTTTCCCCCACTGTTGTTTGGGGCTTCTCGATAATTCCCATGTTGCTTCCGCTGAGTCATGCCTTGACTTAACCAGTCACCTTTGCCTTGCTGCATCATACCTCCTTTTGCATGTCTTGTGGCCCACGAGACACAAACAAACGAAAAAGCAAGCATGTCCTTCAATACTGGAGCAGCCACCTGTTTACTAATCTCCATCCAACTAAAAACTTTCAATTCAAATCTGAAAACTTTTCAATTCAGATTTTTGAAAACTTCCAACTTAAATTTTCAAAATCAATTTTTATTACTTTTTAGAATTTACTGTAGCTCTTAGCTTACTACTTGTAATTCAAATTATTTATTATTTTATTATTAAAAACTACAGCTTAGCCCTAAACGCTGCGTTTAGCATTAAGTGCTTTGTTTACCATCTAGAAGGGCCATGTGTGTAGGTCACGATGCTTTACTTAGTGCCTTCTAGAAGGACCAGCGTGTGCATGACTTATATAGATCGCACACTGATGCGCTGATAAGCACACCCCATAGTCCACACTCCACAACCACTTTGACTCGGCCAAACAACCACACGGTCATAGCCCTTTAGGGTATAAAAAAAAAAAAAAAAAAAAAAAAAAAAAAAAAAAAAAACCTCGAGGCTTGCGAGCTCTAGACAAGCCGAGCTTGAGCTTCCATTGAGCCTAGCAATATATAATTTTTGTTGTTATTTAATAAATTAGGAGATCAAATATGTTATTTGTTAGCATCCCATACAATAAAGTATCTTGTATTAGCATCATATATTTATTTTATTCTTTTTTCCTATTCTATCAATATGATGAACTATAAATCAATGTTTTTTAAAAAAGATTATCCATGAAATATACATTGTTTCACTTACAAATCAA